AAATCAGCCTCCTCATATATTTTTTATCAGAAATGCTCTAGAGGAGCAGAGGACGTTGATGCTGGGAGTCAGGCAGGGATGGGGGATGGCAGCACAGACTTCTGATGAGATAGAGGGGCAACAGTCTCAAGGATGGCAAACAGTGAATCATGAAAAGAATTCACAACATCAAAGGAAAAAGGGCAGAGAGGGCAGGGAAAAAGAGGATTGAGAGCGGACAAGAAGTCATCATTGATTCTGAAGTAGAAGTCACAGAAAAAAACATTTACAGGTCATGAATGGTGTGGCTGATGAGTGAAGCTGAAAGAGACCAGACATTAGTCAGACAGGGAATCAGAGAGACAATAGCACTTACTGAAGACCAAGTCAACTGACCAATGATCCTTTTTGTCATTGGAAGCATTGAACTAGGTCTGTAGATCTAATGTAGAGGAGAGGGTAAGGAAATATGCAGCCAAGAGGTCAGGTAGGTCATCAGCATGGAAATAAAGTCACCAATGATCAGTGAGGAAGACTATGAAGAGAGTTAGAGGGAGAGCCAGGAGTTGAAATCAGTAAGGAAGGCTGATGGGGAGGAATCTAGTGGCCAGCAGATGACAGTGACATGGATGCACATGAGGATGGTGATAACTACTGGTAGCTGCAAAGGGACAAGATTATTTTAAAAGGGCAAAGCTTACAAATGCTGGGAAGATATAAACTTGTAGCATTCCCGAAATCCTGCATCCTAACATCTTCTAACAAGAAACTGAATTTGTGTTTTTTATTTTACTTTCTTTGCTAAAATATAGAATCATACATTTGAGCATTTTTCTTTGCAAAATCCATTTTCTTGACTGAAAGAATATATTTTCCTTGACAAATATGATCATCTCAGTTCTGCATCATATTGTTCAAAGCTACATTTTCAAGGCAAAGTGAACCAGGGTAAGTGTACTCTTACTATTATTTATGTCATGTTCAGTACTTATGCTAGGAAGCAGAAGGGAATACAACAATCACATTATCCTTTGCCCTTATTTTATCTCTTTGTGATCCACAATATAAAAGATCAAAATGACGACTCATTCAGTTGAATGTAGAGCACTGGTTTTAACAGGAGAAATACAATGGATGATGATCAAATCAACATTAAAAAATATATACATAAAGATAGAAAAATGTAAATCTTATGCTTACACTACCAGTTAGTCAGTATTAAAGAAAGGTTTCATGCTTTCTATGGTAAGGCAGATTTCTAAAATATAACAGGAGCAATTTTCACCTTAATTACATCTCTTTACTATAGAATTTAATGTGTTACAGAAGCCTGCAGCAGCTTTTATCTTAATGCTACAACTATTTCAGGAAGGTAGAGGAGGAGGATTTAAAAAATAAACTGCAATAAATATCCAAATATGCTGTAAAATTTGCACAAAAAGAGTCTATGATCTGCTATTATGATCCCGTGATTAAATTAATAGGATGGGTAAGAAGAATCATTTCCAAAGAACTGGATTTGGAGCACGCCAGGCAGTCAAGCGTAGCTGCAGAAGCTGACATTTAGGATTTGTGTTGTTAAACACATAGAAACAGAAACTAAAGAAGAGGGGGAGCCAAACTCACATTAGGGATGTGAAATAGTGATAGAAATGTAGCCGTGTTAGTCTGGTGCAGCTAAAACAAAATACAGGACTACGTAGCACTTTAAAGACTAACAAGATGGTTTATTAGATGATGAGCTTTCATGGGCCAGACCCACTTCCTCAGATCAAATAGTGGAAGAAAATAGTCACAGCCATATATACCAAAGGATACAATTAAAAAAAAGTGAACACATATGAAAAGGACAAATCACATCTCAGAACAGAAGGGGAATGTGAGTGTGTCTTCATTGTTTGTCCAATACCTAATACAATTAAGCCTGCTTAGGACCTTTGGGTGCAACCACAAAAACAATACTGAACAATACTGAGTAGGTACTGGAAAAGATATCTGATCAATTCCTTTGGACTGAACTAATTTTCATTTCCACTTTCAACATAAACAAATTCTTTCTAATAGAGGTTTCCCTTAGTTTGGCCCAAAAGTCTCTACCCTTAACTGCTATGAAGCTTGCTCTGAAATGGTTTTCTGCTTGGCTGCAATCTTCAGAGGTTCGTTTACGCTCCACCAGTTAGTCAGTATTAAACAGAGGCAAACGCAGTGCAGGCAGACACACCAGAGATAGGGCTGCCTGATACTTCATATTACAAGCCCCTGTTTCAATTCCTTATAACTTTCCAAATTTTAATTGTTTGGTCTGAAATGTCTCATGCCAGATGTCTACTTCATGCAGATTTATTTAAATATTACCTTTAACAAAATTAGTTCAATCATTCTCAGAATGATGTTAAAATACTCTCATATCCATGCTTTGGGGCAGGGTATTGATATTTGTTTGGGGGTGGCCACGATGGTGTCAGACAGAATCTTTCAGGAGCTTCAACCATATGTCCCAATAGCTCTTGAAATTGTCTGAAATCATTACATGTGGAGAAGGCATTATCCTCTAAAGAAGAGGAGAGGTATATAGCCACTTCTTGTTATTCAGGATTAAGGTGTTCCGCATTGCCAATCCATTCTACTTCCTCAGACCCAAAAGTGGGAGTCATTAATACTGATCCAGAGACAAAATGTTGTCAGAAATGCTAGCAGCTTAAGGCAGCAGAAGCAGAGGAGATAGAGGTGACATCTGGCTCTTCTGAGAAATACAAAAGGGTGAGGTGGTGTCCCAGGTTTTAAGGCCCATCTTTAAATATCTTTGGGATACCAATAAGTTAGAAAGAGTCCCACGAAAAACAGAAATAAATTAGATGATGCTGTTATTTTAAAAGTATATTCAACACTGCAGTGCTTTTCTGCCTTGGTCCAATGTATTAGGAGTTAGCCAATGGTCTTTAACTCGCCAAAACAATTCTGTATGATAATGTGGCGAGTTTCCTATTTCCTCCTTGCTTCTTAACATGGTCTTTCTACAGGATAATGCTTCTACTTTCCCCTAAGGTCTTCCTCTCCAGCCTTCCTGTACCTTCTGTTTATATTCCTGTTCCAATAATCCTGTATTGAACTCTCTGCTTATTTTAAATGTAGGGGTTTTATTATAACGCTGTTTGAATAATTAAGTTTTGAAATTCCATCATACCCTAACCCATTCACGAGGTATAAGGGAGTGGTTGACAAAGGCTTCCTTTGTCGACTGATCCGCATCTTGACTTGTATGCTGTGCCGACGATCAGTTGAGCCGGCACAGTGTGTATGCCGTGCCGACGATCAGCTGAGCCGGCACAGTGCGGCGGCCATTTTTATTTTAATGAAGCCGGGGATATTTAAATCCCGGCTTCATTGACTATATCGGGTAGTCTAATTTACATGCCTCTGGTGACAGAGGGATGTAGTCTAGACAGACCCATATATATTAACTTTTATTGTTATATTTAATTAGATTTTTAAAATATCTCTCTAATTTTTTGGAGAATTTTTTAATATCTCCAAGATTATTTGTAAAATATATTTAGGGAAACATAAGGAAATCTACTGAAAATCAGAAGAATAACTATACAGCACTGAAGAGAGGACTTTTGATTTAACCTAAAGATACAAACAGAAATTAGTGTGAATTTTCCTTGTAGATTATATATTTGCCAGTATGCATTATACCATCAGAAAAGCCTGGAATTAGACTACAATTAATTAAAGGACTACTTCAGTTATACTGCACGGCACTACAATGAAAACCAGAGGTAACAAAATGGGGTTTTATAAGAAAAACAAGTACGTGTTAACAATTTACAACAGAAAATACAGTATTTCTCTAATTTTCCTGAAAATACTAGCATTTGTGGATATATTCTTTTGAACTTACAGAATCTCAAGAATTCATTTAAAAAAATCACAAATCAGAAAAACAACCATAAACACCAGACATACAGAAAAAGACAAGAGCTTGTGAAAATAAAAAACTACTGGCTCACCTTTGCAACAGTTGCAGCCACTCTGTGGTCTCCCCTGCTCTTTGTTTTCATTGCAATGTCCAGCATTATGACTGAAGGAATAGAGTACAGTAGAACCTCACTAATTTACTAGCTAATCCACACACCTCAGAATTTGTACACAAAAAAATAGCCATTATGCCCCACCTCTCAGCCAAGACTGAATTGTAAATACTATAGACAGAGAATGTTCCTATTACTCAGATTTCATTACATGTACAAAATATACTACATAATATTGACTGCATTATTCAATACTACCATAAACATTAAAACCAAAAAATGGTTAAAGATATAAACTAGAATTTGTAATGTATCACCATACATTGTGTTCACTTACTTACACAATTTGGAAACTTTAGGAATTCACAATGGACTCCCAATCAACAGTGAATTAGAGAAGCTCTACTGTACTTATTGTGATTCTTGTATTCAGATCCCTGTATCTGTGATCTCTCAAATCATAATAATTCACCAATTTCTAATTCATATTTGAAAATTACTGCACTTATTACGGCAATATAACTAAACTTAGCTGTATTTCATTTCATTCTACCGTACCACCCAATTCTTTCTTCTCCACATTACTGTATGTTTTCAACGTACTGTTTGTATTTTACTCCACTATATTATTTTCTGTAACTTGAAATGTTTAGTTCCTATATAACATCTGTTATTCAGCAAAGTTCCGCTTTTTGCTTAATTTTCCAGCTGGACAGAAAAATTGATGTACAAGGCATTCAAGTATTGCTCAAGGCAGCACAATACATCTATTTCTTAGATCAAAGAAAATACCCATGATTCTTCCTGGCTTTCTATCCTTTGAACTTCCCACTAGAGCATATAGCATCTCTGTTCTGGAATATAGTAGACCAAAATTACATACTGTATCAGGTCAGTCTGACACAGACGCTTCTCCAGAAAGGTTCTGGTATATTATCACCGCAAATAAACAGTTGTTTACAATAACTGTAAAAAAACAATCCTTACCGGTCTGACATCCCCACATGAGTTTGTAAACTGTCGTGCCAAGCCAAAATCCAGCATGTAACACTTTCTACAGGTGCTAGGGAAACGTCCCATAGCAAAGTTCGACTAGAAAAAGAAACAAAAAAAGTGTACGTAATTAACATACACATAGTAATGAATGACATTGTCCATCATTCTGTCCTTCCTACTGTATTTTCACATCTGCCCATAATCCACTCACTCTGGAGAAAAGAACACATTATACTGACATTGCATATGCCAAGAGAGGGATGCAGAATGCCCCCTCCTTTTTTCTGGCTGCCTAGAGAAAAATGTTCAAATACAAACGAGTTGTATTGTGGAGGCAATACACTTTGAAAACTCATTAACATTCATTTTAATTATCTTTCAAAACCTGCTTCCACAGAGTTTCACTTTTGGGTTTTCTCTACATAGCCTTTTTTCCTAAAATTTCTCAACATTCCACTACTTCAGCTCCACTGATGTCAGCAAAAGGAAGGAACCACACTCCTCAATTGTTATAATGAAGATGAAACATGGGCCATAGCCAATCTAAATAGGCTGAGCTATGCTTACTATCTTTCTCCTTCCATGAAGAACAGGGACAATAGGGAGGTGTTCAAAATTAGGTTCTTAAGGGAAGACAGGCATACATTTCCAGATAGTGAATTTAGACCGACAAATTTTTTTGTTCATCAAAAGACTGCAGTGAGAAAGGCTTGCAATTGAGATTGGAGGAAAAATAGATAAGCAATACTACATCAAGGAAAATTACTCGGATAATCTTGCCACATCAAACTCGGATGATAACAGAAATTCCACAGCAGAATTTGGCTTTGAGATGTGTTAAAGACAGTGCCAAAAAATGCATTGTAACAGCTGTACAGAGAGGGCATGAACTCTTATAAAATCCATTTGACAAGATAACTGTGATTTCATAACTTTGTTTTTCTCTTTTTCTGTGCCTTGTCAGATTTCTCCTCCAGTAGTGCACACACAGATTCCTTGACATCAGGGTACTTATCAGGAAGCGGAAATTTGTACCTGGCTTGCCTTAAGAGGCAAGCAAAGAACATGGCCAATCATTTTTCACAATTCTTTAAAACTTCAAAAATCATTTTGAAACATGCTTTTAGGCCTACAAATTTGGTGTCAAGAAAAATACTAACACAAAGTCCAAATGACAAATTTAACTATCAGTTTTTTTAAAAACAAAAAGCATTTCCGCTGAATAAATTAAAAAAAAACACATTAAAAACATACAGCAGTTTCAGGTAGATTTAAAAAACCCACAAAAATAAAAAAAATAAAACTCTTACAAATATTTCCTAGGTTTAAAGATTAACTCCCTTTGATTTCTTACGTTAAGAGTTTGCTTCCATAGTCCAAATAATCACTAATCATATTTTATTCTGTGGTGGGAGTAATTGCCCATTTTAAGGTCTTCTCAGATGACAAATGAAAGTCATAATTGAAGAGCACTTGGAGGACAACTGCCATTTAAACCAGTTGCAATCTGACACTAAATAATTTTTTTATTGCCATCTTGGAAGAGTCACAGATTCATATCTAATTCTCTGCACCTTCTGACTTCTTAAGATTAACATCTAATATGCTGTCCTTTCTTCTTAATGCTGTCAACTAAGGCCCACATATTCATTACTGGTTTTCAGTTAAGAAGAAATTTACTGGTTTAATGTCTCTGTGCAGGAATCCCACAGAGTGAATGCTCTCAATGGACTCAAGAATCTGCTTTCCCAGGCGCAGGGTAGTACTGATGGTGAAAGTCCCTCGAGACTGGCTCCGACGCAGATCTGCCAAATTCCGACCCTAATCAAAACACAAAAACATTTTCCGAAGCAGTCCCAAAACCAGTATTCACAGGTAACATTAATATTTTTTTTAACTTATCTTTAACTAAGACAAGGTGAATTAGGTAAATATCTTATATTAGACCAACTTCTTTCTGTTGGTGAGAGAAACAAGCTTTTAAGCTTACATCTCTCTCACCAACAGAAACTGGTCCAATAAAAATGCTCTCAACCATCTAATATCCTGGGACCAACACAGCTACAACAAAAGTGTATGCTTTTTTAAAATAGTTCACAATGGAAGTCTTAAGAAACGCATCCCAGGACTCGCCCCTCACTGACTGTAGTCTTCAAGGATGCCACATCTCATAGATTCAGTTTCCAAGTCCAGAAGGACCATTCTGATCATCTAATCTGAGCTTCTGTATAACACAGACCATAAAACTTCCCCAAAATAATTTTAGAGCATATTTTTTAGAAAAGCATCCAATCTTGACTTAAAGTCTCAGTGATGAAGAAGATGTTCTAAATGTAGATGCAAAATTCTCCAAACATTTCAGAAATTAAGTATAGAAGTTATTTTTGAAAATGTCACTCAGTCTGTCTCTGACTCCAGATAATTTGAACCATACCAACTTGAATCTAGCAGAAAAGTGATGTTGCCATATTTATCAGTTATAATTAGAGATGGACAACATCCTGGGGGAGAAAATGCAGTTTTGGTCAACATGAAACTATTCATAAATTTGTACTGAGTTCCCAGAATAGATTTCCCTAATCCAAAAAATCAAAACAAACCAACCCCCCCCCCCCCAAAAAAAAAAGCCAAAATAAAACATTTAATTTTGACTCAACATTTTTCATTTTAGATTTTGGGCATTTTGACAAAAAACAAATGACTAGATTAAAAAATGGCTAGAGGTGAGAGTGGAGAGGTGGTGCCCTTATATCTTTTAGCCCAATGATTAGGGCACTCACCTGACATGTAGAAAATGCAAATTCAGTTCCTCTCTTTCCGTTGTGTGAAGTAGGGATTTAGACATGTTTTTTCCACATTTCAGGGCAATGTCTTAGCCACTGAGCTGTGTGACATTCTGGATGGAA